TAGATCCTTAAAGGACCATCACTAAACTGCTTTAGTATTTGGATAAGCTAAGAGAACTAGACATAATGCAAATGGAGCTAAAGTTTGAACATACCGACCTACTGTTATTGCATCAGATATACAATGGCGAATCTGTACTGAAGCTCCCATCTTACTTAACCTGGTCCTTGATCACTATTTCTACACTCCAGCTCTGTGAAAACAATAAGGTGTTCTGGAGTCTTTGCTGGGATAGCGGGGTCCCCTGTGTAAACGTACATTTCTGACCAAACCAAGTATTTCAAAAAGTTGTCATTTAAATTCTAATAAAAGAAGTATATATATAGAACTGTATGCCTCTCTTACTCTTAACTCTACCACGGTAACCTGTTTTCCTTTATTCTAAAATGGTTCTATACTTCTCCAAATTGTTACTTGTATATAATTGTACATAATTCTGACTAAATGTCAAAGTGGGTATCTATGTAATTTTCATAATAATTTAATGGTTAACTTCATGCCCACAGTTCAATGTTTTAACCAACCATACCATTATATATCATACTTTATACTCATTAACTTATTATCTATTTACTATATGTTTTAATTCCTAGTCCTTAGAAGGGTACTCTATTAACAGTTTTTGACTGATTTGAATGTCCTGCACAGCAGATCGAAGCATCTCTAAATTATTTACTATTATTATTGTATTGCTGTGTAAATTTGATTCTAATTATAATTCTAATTCTAATCACAACCAGTGACCAAGATAGGACATAGGTTGCGTACCAACACAAGGCAACTGTCAAGATATTATAATGAATTTGATACTTCTGGAATGCCTTATATCAATAAAAGGCAACCGACAGCAACAACAACTTTTCCTTGAAGTGTAATGTGGAAGCAAGGGCACACTCTTTGTGTGTGGTAAAACCCATTTTAACAGCGTGAATATTTATCAAATATAAGTGATAAGCGCGCTAGCTGCTAGCATACTTGTATCATTTAATTTTTAATCAAATTTATTCGGATATATATTTATTGATTATGTATTGAATTGGTGATAAATAATAAGATTGTCTTTTCTCAAAAAAAAAAAAAAATTGTCTTTTCTCTCTTTTAAGAGAAGCCTCTACTTCAGAACACAGTGTCTGGAATGACCTTAAAGAGAAACTTTGCCGGGACTTTCAAGGCTGACCTGGCAAAATATTTCTGGGACAGAGTGACAGCCATGACTAAGTCTAGGAATACAAATCATATTTTAAAGAAGGACAATGCCACCAATGAAATAAGACAAATTAGCAGTGGCATAACGGGGCGGGGGTCCACAGCTGATTTCAGAGGATTCCCCAGTGAAATCTATAGAATGATGTGTTTCTACAGAAGAATGCACAATTTTGCTATATTACTAACGTTAAGTATTTCAAAATTGTTCACATTCAAACGCCAATTTTTGTCGCCATCAATCCCAGAGGTCCAGAGGATGAACTTGCTCTAACCAGATCCCTTGAGCTTGCAGCAGTGGCGTAACGTTGCCTGTTGCGTGTTGGCACCCCCCCCCCCCCCCCCCCCAACTGCCGAAAATGCGCCACCTGTTGGCGCCTCCTCCCCTTTTGGCGCCCCTACCTAAAATTGAACAAATTTTATGATTTTAGATGACACTAAAAAAGTGTGTTTCTAGAGCAAAACGCGCAATTTTGCTAGTATCAGTTAAGTTTTTCAAAATTGTCCCACATTCAAACAACGATTTTGCGCCCCCCCCCCCCCCCCCCCCCCCCAAGATGCCGCCTCCTCGCACAGCGGGGCCCTTCGTCAGCGGGGCCCTTTGTTACTCCTCTGCAGTGGCGCGCCCGCCTCCAAGCAATAAAAACTTTTCCTATTTGTGAAACAAACGCTAAGATATGTAACTGAGTCTGAATAACGCTGACCCATTGGAGATTTCATCTTTTGTGCAAGCTTTTTAATCAAGCGTTGCGCTTCGACTCCCATGCCTCCTGTTGTGGAGAAAACTAAAGGTGTAAAGGTAGCTTTTTCCACTTCTAGGACCCTTGCATTATATGCTCTTAGCTTCTCAGTCTCGTGAGCCAAATACATCATAGGAATTAGTTTAGCGGCGTTGGTTGGAGCAGGAGCATGAAACACTCTTACATCAAAAAATGCTCTTTCCAACGCATTCCAAACTGATCTTGCTGATATATCTAGTCGGGCTTGATCTCCAGTTACTGTACCTCGTGGTAACTGCATGCCGCTGACTGGAAGAAGAGGGGGCTCTGTCTGAACGTCTTTGCATTTGACTGTCCGCATGATATTAGCTATTGTATCTCGAAGTGAGTTATGCCTCAAGGTCACATAACCCCCAAGTAGTAAAAGTATTATATTGAATGAAAGGGACCTGTCAAAAGACATAAAATCTTTTCAGGGTACCCTTCAGTAATGCACTTCTAAACTGTATAACTATATAATACTATAGAATGCCCTGGAAATTCCAGAAAATAGTACGTCTCACCCCATACTATGAGTCACAATCAGTTTTAAATCTTTAATCTTGCACGGCCTGGGCCACAGAGCAGATCAATTATTCTGTGCATACAAAAATATTTCAATTTGTTTGATGCTCCGAGCGTGTTAAATCATTTTGCCCTTTCTAGGGCTAGCTAGAAAACGAGTTGAAAAAGTCACGTGACTGTTGAGTGTATGTAACTATTTAAATGTAACTAGAGCTGAGTGACAGGATTAATCATTATTCGTCTATTTTCTTTTAGACAGGTTGAATATATTTTATTTTTGTTATAAGCCATATCAAAGTTCAAAATATCTGAAAACAGCAATCCGAACCCTATGAATTTTATTGTGGTAGCTATCTCAGAAAATAAAAAGGTTTACTGTAAGGCCTAATGGTTAATAAATAGGTTCATAGGTTTAAAAATATGACGGCCAATGAATAAAAAACTACTATTACAAATCAAAACGACTTAATTTAATTATTATCATAAATATATTACACACGATTGCAGTATGCAAATATAATAGCGCGCGCCCGCCATAGTTCTCAGAGGCCCATGAATAATAAAATTGTTTTTCTCAAAAAAATGTCTTTTCTCAATGGTTAGGTCTCGGCCAAACTCAAAGCAGAAAACACGTATTTTTGCCCGTAAGAGCCTCTACTCAAACTTTTTGACATTTTTTTGCGCGGCGCACACTATATAATGGATAATGGTGATTTATTTTACCTGGGGACATCAGGCTATCGTGTTAGCCGAATAAAGATTCGGCGGGATCTGACAGGCAGAGTGCAGCCCAGTAATATTTATCAGGCAAGCTTGTTTTTATGTTCAGCACTCTTTTCACGATATATTGTGCATCAAAAATTACATAAAACCTTATAAGCCAACGTTATATTATATATACCAAACTAAGAGTTAACGATATTTTAAAATAAAATTATAAATGTCGTCGACTGTAAATCCTTGATTTAACGATGCTGACAGCGGAGACTGGACAGACAAAATGACGTTTTATAAAGCCGTATTTACAAGGCCGTGATAAATTAAATCATTTAGGTTTATAAGCAGCTTTGCAGATCATGGGCCCATACTTGTGCAGGAGGTGCATTTTGCTTTCAACATTTGTGTTTTGATGACCCTCAGGTCCTTTGATTACATACATTTTGTCCTAGAAAATCTGGTTTTATCGGAGTCTATTTTTGAAAAGATTTAATGTTGTTCATTCACTGTGTAAATTTGTATGTAATTGATTGATTTGAAAGATTTCAATTAAAAAAATGGGTTGGTTCGCTGGGAATGAGCAGATCTGATCTTGCTTTAGTTTCAAGCAATAGATATAGTAAAATTGCTACCTAAGTAAAGAATTTCTCCAGGGTTATTTTTCCCGGAGATCAGAGAGCTGAACTATATTGGAACAAACTCCCTCCGGATATCAAGAACTCGGAGAACTAAGCTTTTAATTTCGATTAATAAAAATAATTTCAATATATAAAAGGAAAGCATATTGGATATCTTAGGACTAATCCAAATTATGTCGTCAAAAACGTTTTATTAACTATATAATATATATATTAGTGGGAAGTTGTCCATTGTCATACTGCGAAGAATAAATCAATCTCAGATGAAATTGCAATTGTATTATCAAGAAGATAATACAATCCATCAAAGAAGAAAAGCCTTTTGACAGCCGTCTTTAATTGTGACCCTGATGCTAGTCATGGTAAAGTAAACCAGACTTGGGATACTCTTCAGAGAAGATAGCCTGTTGGGCGATGCAACATCAAAGCACCTTGCCTTGTATGCTGTTTTTCTTCTCTATTTTCTCGGCTTGTTACTATAAATATTTATGCTAATTCTGTATACAATTATTTACATTCTCCCAGTGGCGTAACGTTGCCTGTTGGCGCCCCCCTGCCGAAAAAAGCGCCCCCCTGTTGGCGCCCCCTCCCCTTTTGGTGCCCCTCCCTAAAATTGAACAAATTAGGTGATTTTAAAGAATACGCCGGTAAAATCTCTAAAAAAGTGTGTATCTAGAGCAAAACGCGCAGTTTTGCTAGTACTTTAGTTAAGTTTTCGAAATTGTCCCACATTCAAACGACGATTTGGCGCCCCCCTAAGACGGCGCCCCCCTGCACAGCGGGGTCAGCAGGGCCTTTCGTTACGCCACTGCATTCTCCACCTGATGGCACCGGCCCTGATGGCACCCCCCCCCCCCCCCCCCTCGCTGAAAAAGCGCCCCCATTTGGTGCCCCACCCACTTTTGGCGCCCCTCCCTAAAATTGGACAAATTAGATGTTTCAGAGTATACACCGGTAAAAACTCTAAAAAAGTGTGTTTCTAGAGCAAAAAGCAGTTTTGCTAGTGCTATAGTGAAGTTTTTCAAAATTGTCCCACATTCAGACGAAGATTTGGCGGGGCCCTTCGTTACGCCATTGCAGCCTACATAATTTTATTTGAGCATCTATTTTTACAATTACAAATTTGAGCTGAACTCAATAAATTGATATGCTCAGAAAGGGTATATGACAGAGTGGGATGAAGACAGTCTGCAGGCAGCACTGGCAGAAGCTCTTGAGGAAAAAGGTATGTGATTTTTTTATTACTTTATTGCACAAGACTATGCTAAGATACACGTCTTCAGTGCAACAGAATATATCACTTAGATTATTTAACAACCAGTAAAAGTTTTAATTTTTGTACATTACCATACAATACTTCAATAGTAAGTCTCTCGTCTAAATTATTTTACCAGTATAAGTTTAAAACTGTTCATGAGATTTCTGATTTATTTCCCTTATATTTCAGAGTTTTCTGTTTCTTCTGTGTGTGTTTTGAGTGTGTGTGACTGCACGTGTGAATTGGGTGAGAAGTCGCAATTTGTATAGCTACAGCATGATAATGCGCACGTGCACATTTGGAACTATTAAATGGGGTGATATTGTGATTTGTCTCCTGTTTAGTTAACATTTTGTTGCGTTCAGGGCGTATTTCATAATTGTCATGAAATATCTTTGGTCGTGATGGACATCTTCTTGTTTCTGTTAACCCTGACTATTAGCTCCTTTCTTGTAATGAACAGGAACTTTGGTCTACTCATAAAACCGAAATTATTTCACAGAAAAAGCAGCTGAGTATGGACTACAGCTATTGCACAGAAACAACCACCTTGAACTCTGCAAAGAGCAGCTGGAAAGTCAGATGACTGTCATGAGAAACAGCTATGACGAAATTAAACAGGTAACTGAAAACCAACATTACTTTTCAACAAGGTCCCTTCAACCCTTCCAGTCACTCACAATTCACATATTTAATTCGACAAATGTTACATTACCATGTTGGATCTGTCTACCCCAGTACATTTGCCTCTGCAGATTTGAATTGATTAATTGGATTGGTATTAAAACTACACATGTGTATCATCCTTCGGAGGCCAAGCCATTACACTAAAACTCATTAATCAGTATCCTTCAGCTTATGTAAATTTCGCTCAATGCTGCCGATTAAATAGCAAAACTCCTACACAGTTGTGGCCAAAGTGAAGCTCGTTGGTTTTAACTGCATGATCGTTAAGTGATTCAACTAATAATACCGATAGATTTTAACGTACCTGTATTGCATCATACGTAGACAAAATAGTGAGAGTATGTGGCTTACTGCTGAATACTGTCGTCATTTAATCCATATAACACTACGAACTTACGGTTTGTAGCAGTCTTTGCAGTTTGCAGCCTTAGTCTTCCAGCTTTAGAGTGGAAAGAAATTATCCCATTCCAGGCTGTTACTTTAGGGCTTATTAATACATCCTTGTGCTCTTTTTTGGCTGGCCGCCAAAGTTTCACAACAACGATGATATAAACTGTCATCTGGACAACAGTAGCCAGCAGCTCCTGCCGACAGCATATTAAATTGAAGAAATTGAAATATCCGTGGTTAGTGGTAAGTATAATCTGGTTCCTGCGGTGGAAATCGATCCGTTTATAGTTTATTAATAGATCTGTTAAAGAGGAAATATAGATGTAGGAGGGTACTAGCACTTACCCAATACCCATTAAGCACAATATTAGGCACAATATTAACCTGCCCTCTTTATCAGACATTTCTATTTCTTGAATTTCCTTATTGATTAGTTAAATAGAACTTCGATACTAATTACTACTATCTGCGCTTTCGCAGAAAAACAATTGCGGGATCTAATAATAGCGCTCTTTGCCGTAATGACAGCACTCTTTCTCCGCCACATAACAGCACATTAGCTCTCCCTCTCTCTCTCCCTCCCTCTCTCTCTCTCTCTGCATATGACACTAAGCAGCTCACTGACAGCTCTAAACCTCTCAGCTCTCTCTCTACAATTATACCATCCTCTAACAGCCCACTCTACTGCATCTTATTAACACAGCGCGGCGCTCCGGGTCCCTGGATCTCTGAGAATGCAAATCAAGCCTGCTGTCCTCACTAAGTGATATACAGTTGTTATAGATGCACAGAGGGAGGGAGCAGATTGTGTGTGTGAGATTTGGGTTTGTGTTATATAATAATAGTGTGTGTACTGACCTCTCCCCTCTCTCTCTTTCTCCTTGAGAGTGGGGCTAACTGTGGGGAGGGGGCTATTTACCCTGCATTAGTGTTACTCTAGTCTCACATAGAGGTAATGACAAATACATTTAATTATAAGTTGGCAGAGTGTAGACATGAATATTTAATATTTGCAGAGATGTCCTATCCAGCTTACTCTCTTATCGGCAAATTGTGTAATGAGCTCTGAATACAGTAATGTTCAACATGTAGATGTTTAGTAGCAAACTGTGTAAGATCATAGTGTCACCGCGGCCAACGTAGCATTGCTCCACAAGTTTAATAACACATCTACACAGTCCCACAATGTTAAGAGTAGAAGAGTGTTGGTCACGTGATAAAACCTGTGGACCCTACAATCTTCATGGTGGGGTGCGAATATTATTAGATTGTTGATGGGAGTTGAAACCTTGCAATTCTCTGCAGACATACAGTTGAGATATAATAGGTACACAAAACACAGATTGTCTGGCAAAGTTGCAACATGTACCCAGTCTTAGCGCTGCCTCAATCTCCATTAGTACTCTATTATTACAAGAGGTAGGTTCACATTGTATTGCATCATTGGTCCCTCCATATCCCTGTAAATTGTATTACAGCAAGTCATTGCTACATTTCACCCCTGGGTCCTGTCATATCTTCACATTAACCCGGTCTCTTTAAATTAGAATCTCTTCTTCTCCTCTTCCGACCACATCCACCACTCACAGACATTGTGCAACAGACCATAAAGCCAAGCAGGCTGCGGTTATTTGAATATTGAAACTATTTTCATATTCTAGTTTACACACAGACCCCCAAATTGTAAAGTTGTGAAATGTAAACGCTGTTATTTGTTGAAAGTGTGACAAGTATAAATGGTGACACGTTGAAATGGTAAGAGCGTGGGAAGTTATTAAAGGTCGTTATCTCTTTTTTACCCCTCCTCTTTTACCCAGGCCTACAGTCAGCTGACACAAACACACAACAGAATGTGTAAAGGCTTCGACCAACACGACCAGTCCATATTATCAGAGAGCGAGGACAGGGAAATAAGTGAGTAGTATTTCTTATCATGTTGTTGTACTAACATTGTCACCTTGTAATTATTACTATTTTACTACTTTTTATTAATATCTTTATCTACTTATACGTATATATACAATATACATATTACATACTACATGTGAATATTATTCAGAATAAGCATTGTTTTAACTTTTAACTTAAGCAATTCAAAGATATCATCACATATTTTAAAATAATCCAAATTGTGTCATGGCAGATAAAATGTAAGATACGCCTCTCCCAGACCCCCGGTGTACTATAGGGGGACCTGGTCTAACATTTATCAATCTAGACCAGCTGTGTGGTGTAATGTGATATATCCTTATTTAATAGCTTAATGTGTATCTTTTATTGTAGTAACTAGTAATAGACTTCAATGTCCACATGTCCATAACTGTGGGGAGCTAACCAACGGGTATTATATTAAGAGAGATTTACAGGGAATCGTAATTAGGAGCTGGAAAGTTAGAGCATTAACTTACATAATCAGTTCTTATATTTAGGTGCTGTGTTTATTCTAAGTCGTATTCTTCGTAACTGGATTATCAGTTCCAAAATCATCGAGGCTTATAACCATGCGGGATCAGATTTTATATCAAGATCAAAGTGTCTAAGCTGCCAAAAAATTAGCCTGTAAAATTGCCCAATAACTGATGCTCTAAACCATTTTTAGTTCCATCTCCTTACTTTATTATGAGTTTCATTTCCTCGTAAACTATATTAACCAGAGCTCGACCGGGATACCGGCCGGGATTTGGCGTTTTTGTCCCGGTCCCGGCCGGGATTACCGTTTTGGCCGGGAAATTAGCCGGGATTTTTAAAACAGAATTTCGATCTTTTTAATCCAATTCAGCTTCAAATTCATATTTTATTACTTTGACTTAGACAAATGAAACGATTGTTAAGAATCGAACTAATCGTAATGAAAATCGAAACTCGAAGGATTGATTAGATTTCAGGCTCATCTTCATAGTTAGTCCTTATTAGATTGGTCAATGGACCCTTCATACGAAGATTGCTTAAAATGTTCCATTTCAACATAAAAATATCGTGAAAATCCCGGTCCGGTCCCGTTCCCGGCCGGGATTAAGCTGGTCCCGGTCCCGGCCGAGACAAAATTCCGATCCCGGTCGACCCCTGATATTAACAATTCCTCGCCACTTTTACATCAAGTTGCTATTTATTTGATATACAAGGTGCCGCTTGACATACTGAAAGCTGGACAGGTCACAGGAGGCTCCTTACTTGGAGAGAGGCTCCTTACGACCTTACTTGCACTAATTACAAATTCTACAGAACATTCTCGTGAAGGGTGGCAGGTTGGGGAACCTGTCAGAGCAGCTGGTTGATAGCTAAAATCACGTTCTCATTTATACATCTCCACGTACCGTCTAGCTTGGGTTTAGTTAAGTTGTTCAGTGGTTGTAGCTTTGCAGCGGTGTTGGTTCTGTCCGAACTTGGAATTTTTGCATTATTTCGTAACCGATACTGATATTCGCGTGGTGGATGGTTTTTTTAATGTTTTACCTTTTCAGGTTTGATGGAGGAGCGAGATCAGTTGAGAAATCAGGTTAAAAGATTGAAGAAATCAGAGAAAAAGATAAAGACCAAGATGACCGAACTTAATGGTATGGTATTGAGATTTGAGAAGTTATTTGCTTATTTAAACTAATATACTATTGACTATATAAATATCAATATTTAATGAAATTTAGTTCAGACGCTTCCGAAGTTTTTATCCTCTAATCATCAAACGAGTTTGTTTTCTGGAGTCCACGAAGTGAGAGGCAGAATGTTACGGATTTGAAAATTAAATCGAACTTTTTTTAGGTACATATTATTTTGCTTCTTACTGAATACTGAGTCCACTCCAAAAAGCAATTTCGATTGCAGAACACGATTGCAACATGCGAATGCAGATTCGCAGAACTATGCTCTATTTAGTTCTGAGAGTAAATCTGTTTACTGATCATCTAGACCGAGTATTTTTTAAGAGAGGCTGGGCCATGATAGCCCACAAGAGGATAGCATTGAGATGCTCTGCCTACCTCTGGGGTGTGGCAACCCTGGGGAAGGTTGCCGGAGAAATCAGATTGAATGGTGGAGGATGGTGTTAAAAGTGACATGAGTCAAAATTATACGCTTAAGTGCCAGCTGGATTTAGAAAACGGGACAGCATGTGACTTGTGAGTATACTCTATGTCACCCCGGTCTGATCCAGCTCTTCCGGCACAATTATGCGTATGGTGCGGTTTGCGAAAAGTATTGACCGAGTATTACTCAGTACAACAATGCAATATACAATGTTAATATAGAGAGCGTTATACATCTCCATTTTCAAGGAAATGATACATTTTCAAGTCAGTGGTCCCCCCACGTGATTATAATGCTTTGTGCAGTAAGCTATAAAAAGTTGTACATCACAATCTGGTATTAATAACATGAACCACTAAAGTTTGAGTATACAATGGTGTAATGGTAAGTGAGGTAAGACTTAAGACTCTTACAAAAATAATAAATTAAGATAGAAACGATCGTCCATTATATCTTTCATGGACATAGGACATAAGAAGTTGTTAATAAAAGCTGTACTTAGTCTCCTTATACAGTTTTAACTTTAAAAGTTATATTTGTAACTTTTTAAAAAATATTTGCTGTCGGAGTGTCGCTCTGCATTTCCAAAATAAGTTTGATTCCATACTTTTTTACTACATCTCATGTAACAGCTTGTCAATATATTAACGACGGGCAGAAAGTCAATTTGTCTCATTCACACAGGCGGATCTGTACGCTGTAGCGATTTGATGGCGCGATCTACATGTAGCTTTACATGTTGCCATACACACGTTTTAGCGTGCAAACAAAGCGGTACTTACCAAGCTTCTACAATCTTTATTTACAAGCATTAACTACCTTCTTGTGATTGAGTTTGATGAAGATTATAAAATTTTGGCTCTCTGTCAGGTCACATGATGCTTGTAAAAGGAATTTTTTTTTTAATTCTGTGACAAATACTAAAAGTATCTTCAGCTTTATTGTGCTATGAAACATGGATACAGTATTATTACGGTGTGTTGTTTTATGATTTCAACTAGGACACTGTTGACTGCGCTAGGGTGTCATGTTAAAAGCTGATGTGTACTCTTAATGGAGATATACCTGATTATAAGTGTTAAAATGAGCGTGTTAAAATTAAAATGACAAGCATTACCGACAAGCATTACCGACAAGCAATACCAGCAAGCATTACCTAACCTTACGGCAGAAAAGCCAATATTTTTATTGTATCTCCTGACTTGTATCTTATCATTATGCTTTAAAAAGTTAAATACCGTATCTGAGGTCTGTAACGTCATTTTGCATGACGCCACAGATTACAGATAGCACCGAGTTGCAAAATTTTTAGCAAAGGACTATTGGCTATACAAGAAAGGCTATAAAAGAAAGAAGGGATTAGTCCTATTTCGCGCTGAGCTTTATTATTCAACCTCTGTAATATCATAAATGAAGGATTATTTGTTAGGAGGATATAAAATATAAAAATATAAGGTATAGAAAATGAACCTTATTTCTTGGTAAGAGAATAGTGCCCCATACCATTACAATTGTACTTCTTAACAATAGTCACATAGAGCCCAGTGTATGGGGTCACGTATGTATAACACATATGCACTCAATATAGTATACTTTTACGAATAATATCACTGACGGCTTTTCTAAGGTCACGAACGATTGTGATACTGATTTTAGCCTATTTTATGAGATATTCATTCTAGTTTGATAGGATGTTATCTAGGATATTATCTAGAACGTTATCTAGGGTGTTATCTATCACATTTACAGGTCAAGTAGTGTATCTGGGAGACGAGATAGAGAAACATAAGATGACGCATCGTACCAACGCCGAACAGATGCGAGCTCTCAGAGCTAAAGAGAAAAAGTAGGTTTCGTTGATATGAATGCTTTTACTCATAGTCTTCAAGAGTCAATATCCCAGGGCTAAAGTAAGAAAGTCCGGTAACTTTAATAATTTTAAATGTTTCACCCTATAATCCGAGCATCTACTGTTCGTTTTTTAAAAAGAGAAACTCGTAATTTCTTGAGAGAAGTTGTACTAGTACTGCCACAGGACTGTACTACTTCCAGTACCAGTTTTTATTAAATTAACTTACCCCACTTATAAGTTTTCCTAAACTCAATAAATTGGTTTATGTCTGGCATAGATGTGCGACATGTCAAAAATAACAAGTACTAAAAAAGTCCTACTAGTCATGGTCAGCTACGTATCAGCTACTTTTCGTCGCATACTTTTGTAAAATATAAAAATGTACATAAGACACTGAACTGTTGCTGGCATTTTTACATGTGGAATCTTTAACAAAGTTTTGTTGGTAACGAGGCAGGTACAAACCCGCAAACCACCCAAATTATAGTCATAATCAGCACCGGCATCTGATTATCAGAAGATTTGCTCCTTAAATTATATTATCATCCTTAAATTATATTATCATTTTCTTTCATCTGGTTGTAGTGAGGACGACATTCGACTGGTAAGGTATTTGCTCGCAAATACTAAACTGAAGATCAAAGTGAACTCAACAATATCGGGAGAGTTTATTGTCACGATTGGAGCTTTTCAAGGCGACAGTTTGTCTGGAAACTTGTTCACTCTATATCTGGCAGCAGCACTTTACCACCTGCGTGCTGTTATGTCCTATCTAAGACCTAACCCTCCCATAGCTGAGAATCTGTTACCCCTCGAGTGGGAGTACGCAGATGATGTTGATTTTACTGATGAGGATAAAAGCAATTTGGAGTCTTTGTTGCCAATATGTAAAGAGATATTGGAAGAGTGGAATCTTTTTGTCAATGAGTCAAAAACCGAGTTCACCCACTTCTATCTGGCCGGCAAGAACGAGGTTGATAACAAAGGAGAGACACTCAGAGGTAGAGAACCTTGGAGGTCATCTATCTCTTTAGGCTCTAAGTTGTGTAGCATCGAAGATGTCAAGAGACGATGTATACTTGCTAACATTGCTTTTCAGAACTACAAAAAAGTCTGGGAACAAGGTAGACGTATACCCTTGAAGATTCGACTCAAGATATATGAAGCACAAGTTGTTTCAATACTGATGTATAATTGCAACAGTTGGGCAACATCTAAACAACTCCTTCAAAAACTTGATGTCTGCCACAGGAATCATCTCCGTACGATCATCGGCATGACCTACCCTAATGTCATACGAAATGTGACTCTATACAAACGCTGCGAAGTTGTTCCACTGAGTGAGCGTGTTGCTCGTGCACGGTGGAGAATGCTCGGTCACATCCTCCGCAGTGATAATAACTCACCTGCCCAGCTTGCCTTACATTTTGCTGTAGAGAGTCAGAGTTTGATGAGAGGTAGAGTCGGACGACACCAGTCAAACTTGTTAAAAACTATTTTGAACGATTTAAGTGACAGAAATTTTAGACTTGTAAATACAGACGATTTATACCATTTAAGACTTTTTGCAACAGATAGAAAAGCATGGAGAGAGTTAAGCATGATTTAGTTTATTCTGTGTTATTTTTCTCTTGGTGACTTATCAGGTCATCAAGATGTTCTTTATGTTCTATTTTTGATTTGAATAAAGTTATATAATATAATAAATTTCATCTAAAGAGACCTCGAAGAGCTAACAGAATGTCTCAATGTACAGACTACTGTGTAAATATGTTAATCTTATTCCAACCAGCTGAAACACTAAGTACCACACTTTGATACACTGATAGTGATACTCTGAACACTCATTGTAGCTGTGTACACATCTGTTGAAACTTCCCATTATTTAACACCGTTCTCTCAGTTTTGAGGCCGACTACAGAGACCTGGTCCAGGAAATATGTCAGCTACAAAAGGAGATGGGCGAGTTAAAACAGAGGGAGAACAAAGCTACAGGCCTCATGTTAGTAACTAGTAACTATTTTTCATTTTAACTGTTTCATGTGGAACAATATCTATTGTTGTTAGAACTGTGCTATTAGTCTGAATTTGTAAGTAAAACTCACAAAACTTTGGAAGGGCGGTGGTTTTATTTGCCACCTCAGATTGGTTTGGGTTAAACCTGCGAGTTTACAGTAGAAATTGTAACTCTTTGTTTACAAATTCAACTTAAAGCGACCAAACAATAGAATTTGTAACGTTTTAGCATACTTCCAATTGGTATTACTATTACAATGAATGATCAGCAGCCTTATAATTTTATCCTCAGAGAGCTGAACGAATCGTTACGAAATAGTTATGAACAAAAGCGAATGGAGCTGCAAGATATTCAGCAAGTGTATCAACACACCAAGGCTGAAAACAAACAGGTTAGTCACCAACTAACATATTTAATACAAATTATTTAATATATATATTAACTGTATCCATTTATTGCATACCTCTATTTTACTTTTCTTAAAGAGCACTGGTCGATGGTAGATTTAATACTAAAGGCTCTATCTGCATTGATACGTTGGCTCTTGCATCCAGAACATTACGATGTAACGTAGTCTCCCATTGGTTCTCTCATGATAAGTCACTTATTCTTCTTATTTCAAAACTTCACCATTATTTTACTTTCAATTTTCTTCGCAAAAGTTATTTATTTGGTCAAATCATGTTCATCACGAACCATAAATATATAAGATCTGTGCAGTGAATGCATGATGTTTAAAAATAAGACCTCGCCAATATATCGTGAACACTCTGTATATACAGGGGGGGCCAAAAGTCAGTACCCATACGCGTACGTTGGCCTTGATAGCTCAATCACTGAGTGCCTAATTGAAATAATTCTTTTTGGTATGACTTACTACCACCACTGGTTCGAGGAATTTGTCAAATCGAAAAATATTCGTGTTCATTTTCTTCAAATGAAGGTTCATTTTCGCATTTATTAGATAGTTTGGATAGTCGGATCGAGCCAAGTTTTATTGAATGGTGTTTGGCCATTTGAATTACGTTTGTCCTGAAAAATGAGAGTTCTAGCTTCTCAGATGACCGAGATATGAAGCATAACGAGTTCGTTCATGACGTATGATCAGGTGATTGGGCTGAGGCTAGATCCGCATTACGGGAATCGTGCAGAGAGCCCAATTACGGTGTCGTAATTGGGTAATCAATGAGTACCCAATCAATTTTTCTAACGAGATAAACCAATTGCTTGGTAACTTCGTCATTTTATATCCGTTTCGCACCATCTTTTTAGATTATATTCCGGATTAAATGACCTATTGCAATATGTTACAATGGAGTCTCCAACATGTTCACAAACACCAGTATAAGCAATTCAATGTTGATTGGGCGTGGCCCCAAAAAATCGAATTTTCAAATTTTGGTGACGGAATCCTTGAACAAGTAGGTACAGTATGCCATCTGCAAAGCAACAACTCTCAAATATAAAACACGGCGGTGGTATAAGACCCAACGTATGGGTACTGACTTTTGCCCCCCCCCCCCCCCTGTAGATTATATTATATATTGATTAGTTTTTAAATAAAGTCGTACGGCGAATGAATCAGACGTGATGTAATGTTCTTACACTAGTCACTACATTGGTTCCCCGCCACTTGAAATAGCAACAAATTATTGCACACATTCTGTGATTCATAACTTACAAATTAGCACCTCTCACAATTTGACGATTCCTCAGCCGTAAAGCGCACTGACATGTTGGCTGTTTGATCTTTAGTTGATGATAATGGATTCTTAATTTGATCTTATTTTGTTTCGATACAAATGTCTGATAATTTTAATAACGTCCAATGATTGTATCGTCCTGTAGCGCTTCGCCGCAGTAAAAAACGATGAGTACTGCTGAGTTTCGTGTATCTTTATCGTAGCTTTCTTTATTCATATAGATCATTAATTACTGTTAACGGTAGAACGATATTACTATGATCGAGTATTGTAGTCTTGGGAGTCATTACTGTTTGTTTTGTTTGCCGTGCAGCCCGCGGATACAGACAGATAATTGCTCATTTAAGAAATTATGACCATACGCCACATTTGTATGGAACGCGCGAAAGCCAATTTTATATTTTAACATTTCAGCGTAAATACTAAAACATGCTTGCGCGGCGTATTTTATGCATGCTGAATTAACGCATAATAACGAATAAGATATAAAGATACAGCACAATTTATTGTCATAATATACATAACAGTGTAAATAATGTAAACAACCGGGTCCCCTTGACGCTTCACAACTTGATCGATTTTACTCTACGATCATGATCATAATATGTCAAAATGTCTCCGGCTACAGCATACAGGAAAATGTCTTCCAATATATGAAATAGATACCGCCTAGTCTCATTAAACTTTTTTGGTTTCAAGACTTTAACCAAATGACAATCTGTAATCGATTCCGTGGAATTGAGCGGGTTGGCTTCGACTGATCGAGACATAGTCATTGGTTAAAACATTGGTTAAAACAGTCCTGTATGGCATGTCCAGCCACTGGCATGGTGTTAATACATCGAGCAAACTAGAATTCCATGGAAACGTCAAAAGTGACTAAATTTCCCTCAGTTATTGGCAGCCCTGGATGCTGAACGAGAAGCTAAAGAAGTGTACCAGTGCAAGTTCGAAGAAAGCATACGGAGTGATGATACAGATGATGATGTCAGCGAAATACCTACCAAAATATTGGGATCTCCACACAGGGTTTGACCATAAGAGTACGAGACTATTGTCCAAGCGTGAAGAGATTTAATATCAGTAAATGTGTCATTTTGCGTAGGTTTATCAACAAAACAACCGTTTTCATCGTACTATTTACAGATGAGCAGTCCACCACTATCGAGTGTAGCCCACGAGTTAGAAGCGGAGTTAGAGCAGAGTATCCACTTGTCTCTGATAGATCTGGAGGAGCAGCTGGAGAATGTAAACGATGAGAAGTCTAGACTGTCAGACATTGTAGAGCAACATAAACGGGTACCAAGTTTAACTTCATCTTCACTTTGAAGAATGTTTTAATTTGGTTCAAACTGAGGTTGGTTTCAGATAACAAGGGTCTCTCAGCAGACATTTTTTTGTAAAAAGAGGATGGCAGGATGCTTTTTCTTGCCAAATTGGTTTTGCCACTGTTACTGTTACCTTGACCCTTTTTTATACAGGAGTTATCGAATTCGCAAGAGTTGTTATCGATAAAAGATCTGGAGTTCCAAAAGTTAGAGATAACTCTCCAAAAAAATATAAAACAATTAAGTGAAAAAGAGGTCAGTTTCTATCTTAAATTATAAGTGTTGTATATTAATTATTAATGAATGCCAATTCTGACATCATCCTATTTACGATGCACCTGCAATAAACTGATAATAGTAATAAGAGTCGAATAAAAACTTATAGTTATGTTTTAACTGTTTTGCTGTCAGTCACCTGTCAAGCCCAAAATACATTTTCACTTTCTGAGTACCTACTGGCACTGCGATAACAATTATATTTTATTGGAGATCCACTAATATTCACTTTTTACGACAGGAAATAGAACGAAGATTCTACGTGATACAAGAGTCCCATCAGAATATGATGAATGACCTCAGCAAGGATATTATCAGGTTAAAACAGAACAACAATTCCCTGAAAACTGCAGAGTTTCTCAGTCACGAGACTATTATGCAGCTGGTAAGATAGGCAAATAGCTAATTTATTTGATTCAAAAGATCGGCCACGATTTACATTTTAGATAATTTTAAAACTGCAAAAAATTTTGTGAGTTAGGTGTTGATGATGAATACTGAGTTTTAAACGTTGCTATGATCACCATAGCAAGATAATGAAAACAGTGCACGTTACCAATTGAAGCACCATTAATCAGGTTTAAACTTTGATAATTTATTCACATGCATCCAATTACAGAGATCAGATATTGACAGAATGGAGGCGAGATATTTTGAGTCAAATAGTCAGGGTCTAATCAACGATCTACGGAATGAGTTACATATCTTAAGAGATCGAGAAAGAATGCTTCTTTCCACCATTACAAGTAAGTTTCTAACTGTCCTGGAAATCATTTAGCGAATATGATACTTGGTCGTCTAACAAATCATTCCGTCACAAACCGTTAAAAGTTTCTCATTATAGTTAATAGCAAATTACTCGTAAACACTCCATTTAATGACAGATAATAATTATTGTTGAAAGGTTGAAAAGTTATTTGAACAAATTCAAACTTTCCAGGTTTAAAATCAGATTTATCACGTGAGAATGACGAAAAACTAACTGCAATGTACATTGAACTACGAACTCTCTTCAAAGATCTGTGCGTTCTAAAGCGATTCTCTTCATCACAGGTGTCTGATAAAATACAATTGAATTCTAAACTGATAACTTTCAAATATTTGTAAAATGAGTAAAACTAAGTTACTGAGCCGGTTTATTTTCTAAACATGCACTAGTCCTGCACTAGAATTGCACTATAATCAGCTGACCTATAAAACCCAGAAACTGTCCGACGAATCAGAGGAGACTGATGAAAGTTGGCTGCTTGCCCAACACATAAACACGGACAAGGTTGTAGCCCTGCTCAAACAACAAGTTGCCCAAGTTAAAAGCACCATAAACAGCATCCTCATGTCCCAAGTCTTAGATTCGGGACTTATCAAAACGGAGCACGATTTGGAGAGTTTCAAGGAAATTATATTGCTGCAGAATGAAGAACAGAAATCTATCAGCGAGGTAAGATATTTGCGGGATGCGGTGGAGAATGTACAGTTATAATTACAGTCAGCGTATGTTTCGTTAAATTTGAATGTGATCACGTATAATACATTAAAATAAATGTTAATACATGAAAATTGATTTAATTTTAGATACAGAATTTTTAAAAGTCGCTTTAGAAATGGATGTTGGTCAAGAATTCCAATTCATATTCTCTTGGTCTATTTACTCTGAACCAAACAAATTATCATTAAAAGCACTATTACTAAAGTATTCATCTTCACTCAGAACCTCGATAATCCACGCCACCCGCAAAATAGTATATTTCATAAATATTTTCGTTACAAAACGTTGCCCATCGTTATCCTCGACAGAGCTATTGTCGATAGTAAGACGGTTATTTCCAGCAGCAGTTCTGTAAATGTTATTTTCAGTGGGCGAGAGTAAAAAATCATTTCCATCAATCACCCGATACCAATTTGTAGGGAAGTTCTTCGGGTTAGCCACTATCAGTTCAATTGGTCTTCCCTCAACCACTCTCACTTCTTTTTTTAAGTGTGACACCACCATGCCGTTTTCTTCGATAAAGTCCGTGACTTCAACCACGATATTTTCTGGCTCGGCGCTTCTTTTGCGCCATCTTTTCGGCCTGCACCGTATTTTTTTGTGTTCATTTGGGCAATAAAGACCTTTGCTATTTGGAGGCATCTCGATATATCTGGATTTAATTCTATAACCGTTTTTACAGTCTGACCATCCACTCCACGGACCCACTATGCAATCAGGGTTCCATCTCCACATCTTCTTAGTTTTCCCCTCAGTATCATTTGTTGAACTATTAGTTGAATTATCAGTTGAATTATCAGTTGAACCCTCAGTTGAACCCTCAGTTGAACCCTCAGTTGAACCCTCAGTTGAATCCTCAGTTGAACCCTCAGTTGAACCATCAGTTGGACCCTCAGTTGAACCCTCAGTTGAACCCTCAGTTGAACCCTCAGTTGAACCCTCAGTTGATTTACCAGTTGAACTTTCAGTTAATGTTTGAGTGCTACACCCATACCAACGTTTCAGAGATTCATAATCCTGCTCATCTAACAAATAATGTCCATAATCTTTGAGCTTAACTGTACTATTCAAAGCGCGAAGGCTTGGCACACTTTCTTTTACATTAAAAGCATATGCAGGATAGTGCATGGCACTTTTGTAGTCATACTCCCCGTCGGAAGGGCTAACATCTCCTACTTTTCTGTAGAAACTGTGAGCTGCTGCTTTATCGATGTTGTCCCAGTTAATCTCCACGAAGTTATCCCGATCTGGCCTATTCTGGGTGTGTATTGCTCCTAACACATGAAACACTTCATGCATTGCCAGTCCGTAGTTACAGTATTCACCTATATTTACCATGGCTTGAATACCGGGCATGAAGCCTAATGTATCTGAGGAACACTGTGCTATATTGTGGCTTGTGTGGATTATAAATTGTTCTGAGTTTTCATCAGCGGGAACGAACTTGACGCATGGGACCCTATCACCAATTTCTTTGAACGCTTTTAACAGTAAGGATTTTGGTTCGGAGTGCATTCTATGATCAAATACATAGGTATATAGTCCGTCTGGCCAAAGATGACTTTTCCCTCCAATATTGAAAAATGCTCGTCTATGTCTCACAATTTTTGGGGGCTTTTCAACAATTATTTCCATTAGATCATCTTCGTCCTGTGAGTCTACCTTTCCTGCTAATGACAAATCTATTTGAGAAGCATCCATATGACAACTTGAAGACAGCTTTTCACTGTCCAAGTGTTCTGGATCTTCTAATGACCGTTTGTTAATCCTAAGACTTAATATATCACAGTTGCTGGCGCTATGTGCGTCTCTTGACTCTACATGTTCGTCGTTGTCATCATTAGCATCTTTTGAGGTTTTCTTTGGCATTATCGTTTCATGTCCTGAAAAAGCACCTAGAGATTGACTTGTGGTATACGAGAAACGGTGATTTAGCAACAATTGCAAATTTATCACGCAGCTTACAATTTAACAAAATATCGACCTATTCAGAGCTTTTCCTTACATAAAGTATTTGACTAATTTAAATTCTACGAAGAACAAAGTAAACTAAAAGCTAGAGCTTTTAGTTTTCCATACCTGGAGGGTCATCATGGTAGCGTTCGTCATGCTCCATCAGTAGAGCATTCTGGGTATAAATCTCCATGGGATCCACTGTAACCAATGGATTTCCCTCATTGTCAAAAGTTAAGTTTCGATTCACGTCATCGCCCAAACGTAAATGTTGTTTTGCACTGGTAGTAGAAACATTCTGTTTGATGTCCGACACCATGTTATTTATCGTGACGTCATGATCCACCACGTGTGTAAATTGGTTGCCATCCTCCTTTTTAATCGCTTCAAATTCGCAACTTACGAGGAAAACCTTTGTCATCAGAATAGCTACTATCAAAACCTGATGTTCAGAAGAATGAGGATCAATATACCAAATTGCCGGCCCATTCCTTAATAGTCACTAGTTTTAAACGATCGTTGAATTTCAAAAGCAAAACAAACGAATTCATTTTTAAGATGCTTGTCTAATGTATAAGGAATCGTAACTGTTAACCATTTATTTGGACATTTGGAACTTACCACCGGCTGCAGGAACATACTGCCCTTCTGTGTTTCCAATGTCTTAGGTCGATCGTATGACAGTTGAAAAATATAACGCTGATATGGCGATTTCTACTCGGTACCTACACTTTCCACGAGTCTGTTGGTATCAATATGTATTACTATTAGTATTATGTATTAAAAAGTCACTCCGCTGCCCGGAAGGCGAAATTGCAAAAAGGCTGGTTCGTTCAATCAAAAGTGAGAGCGACAAAGCCGGCCAAAGTCAAACTGTATCTTCATCATATCGTGGCACACACTAGTATGTCGTCGAGAAATGTTACGTTTGCGCGCCTAAATGCGCGCGGTGTAGCTCCGTCGCAAAGTTAATATTATTCTATCTTCACAATTTGATTTTAAATCGCGCGGCGAAGTTGCATGTGCCATTTCACGTCCCGTGGTAAACGATACAGCACGCGACGCGTCCGCCGTGAAGATTTGAAACATCTTTTTTAATGATGTAAGCTTCCTCTGGCTCTAAATCAATATGTATTGAAATGTCGAGTTCCGTACGCTTATTGCTTATGAACATGCTCATGAGAAATAAAGGCCCATTTCTATAAACATTTGATTAATCTGCATCATTTATTGTATATTTGAATATGGAATTTACCTGAGGACTTCAGGCTTGGTTGTTACATGATCGAAGATTCGGCGGAAAGAGAGGCCGGTGCCGCTCAGTAAATATATTTATGATCGACGCATTTTGGGACGCCTATGCATGACTGTGATTTTTATATCGTATATTCAATTTTGAGTGGCGAATTGCCCCATATTGCATATTATTGCGAGTTTAAAATGGTTACTTTTTGGTGTAAGTTGGGCTATCTTCCATTCAAGCCCATATCTATTGAAGCATACTGATACAGTGCATTTTAATTTATTAAATTGTATTATATTGCAAATGAAAAATTAATGTCACACCTCCAAACTATACATCATTCAGGTTAAATCAAACTACGAACGGGACATATCATCTCTTCGGGAATACAACACCGAGTTAAAGTGTCGAAACAAGCAGCTTGAGCGCGATAAACTAGAATGGGACAGTCTCAGGAAAGTTTTTGATATGAAATGCGAGGAATACATCGTTGAGGTAATTTTAATTGTTTTTCATACAACATGCTGGAAATGAAACAAACACTGCTATAATAGGCAAAGCCAAACTGTCAGCATTTAGCTTTTAGTATCATTCGTGATTCGGTGTATCAAAGTTTCTTACTACTACTTTGCTGACAAAAACATTTCTTGAAACGTTCATTGATTATAACATTATATAGAATTTCATCAATTCTACAATTAGTTTATTGACTCACATATTGCGATCGTTTGGGTTTAATTTAACTGTTAACACATTAAAAATGTAATTATATCGTATCCCAGGTCGGCATAATGGAGAAGAGGCTACGAGAATCTGAACGTGAGCGTAACACGTTACAACAGCTTCTCCAGCAAATCATCCAAGACAAGATCGAATTAAAGCAAAAGATAGAATCTTTCGAGATCGACCTTGAAACGACTTGGACTAAAAATCAGTCCCTTTATGCCAAATTTGACTCGAATCAAACCACTGGGTCCAATCCTTCTGACTCTAATCACGATACTACGACCAATTCGTGTGATTCAAATCACAATACCACAACCGATTCGTTCGATACAGAAAGCTGCGGTGATTTTCCAGTTAAGCAGCTTGAAGAGGCTTCAAATAGTTCTGAGGTTTGAACGGAGATTATGTCCATCAACTGCCAGAGGTCATTTTATAATTGTTAAAAGGTTTTTACTACGAATACGATAAGTCAGTAACATCAATATTCAATATCTTCGAGTTCACTGTTCAGTGTTCTGACCTCTGTCAATATATCAGACTTTTCCAACTAAAGAACTAACAAGGCTTCCGGTTGAATTAAAGATAATAAGTAAGATTCAAAACATTGAGAATCATCAGTCAGACTATGTAGCTGAGCAATCTACCCCTACAGAATTGTTTATTTATTTTGCATCAAAGGCAGTGATAAACTTTAGAAAATAGAAATGTAGTCCTACAATTGCAGGGCTTTGATAAGCTCAAAGCTGTATTAAATTGTGATATTTAAAAGTAAAGATATTTGAGTTATTTAAGATTTAAATTAAAGAACATCACTTGAAGTGACAGCACTATAAATTATGACCTCAAATCTACGACTGGCTATTATACCGGACAACTGAACCCAATTTAGACTAACCCTAACCATAACCAATTAAACTGATTGGTTAGATAGTGGAACTAGGTTCAATTGGGTTCATTTGTCGGTCACCCCTACGACTACAGTTACACACTAATACTCATTACTGTAGCTGTAATGAGTCATATTACTTGATTATACTTAATGATTATTATCGAACCTATTTTAATATATTTGAATACACGTCATTAGTGGTCGTTCACATATTACGTAATCAGCTGAGGGGGGGGGGTTTCCTAATGATTACGCTAGTGTAATTTTGACACAATAGCTATATGTAAAACTGATTACGGAGGGGGCCGGGGGGGTAAAAATGTTCCAAAAAATGATTACGTAATATGTGAACGACCCCTTACTATATTAATGTTCCCAAACAGTTTCACTTATAGAATAAGTGAACACAGACCAGTTTTCTTGGTTAATTTGTATCAAAATCAGATTTCAGATGTTTTAATTTTATTGTCAATTGTGGGTGTTAATATCATGTAACTGTTCAAACTGTTGTAGATATTTTATGACAATTATTTCCTAATAAAAACGCCTATTTTACACGGTTTACAGCGGAAAGACCATCAGTGATACTTTTGGAAAGTCCCAGGATTAAGTTTTATTCATCCTATGCTGCCAAGAATCTAAAATTTCCAATTAAGACAAAATTGAAATTCGAGATGGCGAAATTTTTCCAGGGATCGGAAAGCTCTCAATTATGTTCTGTTTTTTTAAACCATTAAAGCGACTACGAATCCAGATTCGTATGTTAGTATGTTAGAGTAGCTGTTCAATCGAACCGTCCATTTACGCAATAAATCGTTCTGCAGATTTATACAGAATGATTTAAAGTCCTCAAATCGATTTGAAATGGAACCAGTTCCAAAAGTATGAGACCAGTGAGTAAGACTGAAGCTACCCCAGTCTCCAATTATTAATAGGGGATCAGTCACATACGTATTAGCAAGCCTGGGGGTTGAGGTCTGTAAATGTTAACGCTGGTGTAATTTCTTAACAATAGCTGGCTCGAAAATGGCTAGTTTCAAGCTTCGCGGTACTTCGGTTTCCTAATACTTTGCGAATAAATTCAATATGTACACCAATTTGCAATTTGCATGTTCAGTAAAAAATCAAAATGCTTTAGACGAGGTTATATCTTCGAGTACAATATTTGTGGGCTGATTTCTTGGGATAGTTTAGAATATTTCTAACCTCTTCATTGCGATAGTGAACATACACTGCACTCGACAAAGCACACATTCCCTTCCCTATCACAATAGCAATTTAATGCTGATTTGGCTCATTTCCAAGAGTTCTGTTTGCGCGCGCACAACGCGCATAACAACGGTTGTTCACAATGAAAACTTTACATGTGAACCATCAAGAATTTGAAGCCTATTTTTAGCAAGATAAGATCACATCACGAGTGGCATCTAATTCATTTCGCATAACATAGACTGATCGTATGTCAGATTATAGAATGATCAGTGGTATCAAATGATGTGCAATTGTAGTACATATAAAAAGTAAAGAAATGATTGGAAATGAATCGATCAAACAATTTACAGTTGGTATTATCGTTGAACAGATAGGATTAATATTATGATATTGCCAAACAAGCATTTCTTGGCATCAATTTCATCATTTACATGTAACAACAAACACTGTGAAATATATACCCAATAAACAAATTATTCGCTTTTAAAATCAATTAAGTATTATACTTGTGCCAACCTTTCTAATAAAATCGGCCAAAACGCTTGTTTTGCACACAACAGAACTACGGTGATTATCATTTCAATTCAGTTTTTAAATCACGAAGAAATTATAATGATATTTTACGTTTTATAATTTTTCTGGCATATTTTATACGATAAAGTCATGTGAATAGTACACGTAGAATTAAAATGTAAGTCTTGTTTTTTAATCGTTTTTCATTTAACACAGTATAGAAGAGAAAAACTTCTACAAAGTTTCTTTAAATTCTAAGCTCTCAAGCCTGGACACTCCAATTGAAAAATCACTGAAATGTCTATGTCATTCAACCCCAAAATAATATAATACATTCTACTACATCACATGTCCAAGCTTGAAGAGCAACAGGAAGCACCACAATCCGAAAGATAACATCACGAAGAAACGATACCTTCACTCTTTTTAACCGAACATCTCTTGTGAAGCATAGGTCATGTACACAAAACCGTCCTCATCTTTCTCGTTTTGATAAACCTCACTCATTGTCAGCGTCAAGGTTGCTACGGTTTTCTGGTTTACTAGCAGGAAGAACGCTTGGTCCGGTCGCAGAGTTAGCCGGCGCCTGAAATATTTTTGTTAATTTTAAATATGTGGTCTGTTATACTCTGTACGTGATTGGATTGTTTGACGTTGTGTCTAATATTTCATTTATTGCATAAGTGGCATTTATAGTGCAGTTGCAGCAATTTTATTGTGACATGTTATTGAGAAACTGATCCCAGACTCTCGACGCCAGGTGGGCACCACGTGACATGATAGCTGGATCACGTGACGCTCGTCGTCTGGGAACCAACCCTATTGCTTGAATGTTTAAAGTGTTTTTAGTCGACAACATCATTCAGTTTTATAAACTCAAAGATTCTGACCTTGATATTAAAAGCACGAAGCTACGCTATGCTAAAGCTAAAAGCTATCAACTTTTATTTTACGAATCTTTTAAGAAACCTTTTATTTATTCTATAATATATAACTAAATTAAGTTAGCGTAGTAATCTCCCTTTATAGAATAATCTCTTAAATCTTAATCATTATAATAATAATAATAAGGCCCCCGCTCAGAACACCAGAGCTAGTGAGTAGTGGGTCCGAGGCTGATACTCGTGGTCAGCACCCCCGGGGTCGGTAACGGCAGCAGTCCATTGGATGGCTGCCGGCTAGAGCTACTCACTCCCTGGCATTGCCAGATGTCTTCTTCCTGAGGTTCAGTTATAGCACAAAGTTTAAACTATTAACACTGTTAGTTCCCCCGTTACTAGTCCAAGTAACGGGCTAGAACTTGACCAAACAGCTGGTGAAACACCTGTAGACCACCAGAACCTCAGGCTCTATTGTCCTTCTCAACATCATTTAATGTTATAGTGAGATTTTGTAATTGCTTAAAATTCATGTTTAGGAAGGAACAAAAAAAAAGAAAGAAAATTACAAAAAAAGTTAAAAACAAAAAAGACAAAAAAAAAGCACAAAATGGAAAAACCAAGAAAAGTATCTGTGACTGAAACAGCAGTATTTTAAGATTTATCCCCTTATTATATATTTATTCGTTATCATAGCAGCATAGACTGTCAGTACTGAAAGATTCTCCATCCTTAGTAAATAATTACTATTTATAGTGTTACCATTTACCATACCCATTGTATTAGTAATTACATTGTAATTGAAATTATATTATATATATCCTTGTATTTGGTGTTACTTGTCCCCCGGTTAATTCCCTTTCTTGCCTCTCGTTGGTGAAAATCTTTTATCCTTCTGCTCTAGCTCTTGGTTTCTTGACTAGGTGCAATTGACACCTAGTGGTTTTCTTTCCGGGCATGGACTGACCCGCAGATGTCCCCCAATCTTAAGTTGTGGACTCGTGACAAAAGGATGTGTGGCCATGGGTTAAATGGTTACTAACGGGTCTACTACCCAGGAGGTAGCTACCTGGGGAGCTGGGCGACGCGGGGCAACGCTCAGTGCTCTGTTTTCCCTGCCAACTCTCTAGGGGGTATATCAAGTCCCCCAGTTATGATATGAATTCTCTCTCAAATTTTTCAAACTCTCCTACTCTCCCTACTAATGGGTCAGAGCAGGATCAACAACCTAACATCGCCCCTCCAGCTCGCCGTGAGAGGAAGGCTCGCACTGAGACTTCCACTCGTCACACGTGGAGCAAGGAGGACAACATACAGCTCATGACACTGTATTACCAGAGCCAACCATCCCGCTCTGGTTACAGAAGGAGACTCCGGTCACTGTGGGATGATGCCGGACTCTTCACTTGTACAGAACAAAGATTGGCAGACCAAGCAAGGTCAATCAGAAATAATAATCTCCTCTCAGACATAGAACTACTGGAGATTCGAGGTACTCTTCCACCTAGCGTAGTGGAAGAGGCTCCAACAACGACAACTCAAGCTCTACCCACAGTCTCCCAAGCAATCAGGACGTTGAGGGATGCAACTATCCCAACTGTTGCCGCCGAAGAACTCACCCCCACCGCAACGGTACCTGATTTTGACAAGGAGGCAATCATTGAGCGGCTAAAAACCCTCTTAGAAGACCCTTCAGTGATAGAAACCAAGCCCCTGAGACATGTGAACAGAAAGAAGCTTATGGAGGAAACATCTCTCATCAACTCATGTATAGCAGAGATTCCTACTTCTTCAATCACTGAAACCAACACTCTATTGCTTGCAGGAGCACATTTAGTCAGCGAAAGACTTGGTGAAAAACCTGCAAATAAGAATACAGAGAAGCGGAAAACTCCGCTATGGAAAAGAAGAATCGAAGATAAGATTACCCAGGTGAGGAAAGACATCTCTTATCTTGAGGAGAAGAAGAAAGGTATTACCCTTAAACAAAAAATACTAGAAGGGCTCAACAGACGTCACCCCCTGTTGAAGAAAAAGGGTATATCATGCATCATTGAGGAGCTCAAGCAACGTCTTCGTGCAAAAGCAGCTAAGATAAAGAGATTTAATAAAAGATGCGAACGATACCACCAGAACAAGTTGTTTGGAAACAACCAGAGGCAGTTCTACAGAAACCTTCAAACAAACCCTGAAGAACAGGATATCTCCCACCCTGAGGCTGACAAGGATTCTTGTTTGAAGTTCTGGAAGAACATATGGGAGCAGCCGGTTGAACATAACAGTGATGCTGAATGGTTACCGGATGTCAGAACAGCACTAGCCTCAGCAGATGAACAGCGACAGTTTGTTATAACTAACACCCTGGTTGCAGATAGAGTGAAGAAAATGACCAATTGGTCCTCTCCTGGTACAGACGGACTGCATGCTTATTGGATAAAGCACTTTAAAGAACTCCACAATAGGATTGCAGATCAACTTATGAATTGCCTAACCAACGCTGATATCCCAGACTGGATGACATTGGGACGCACGTACCTGCTCATAAAAGACCACTCCAAAGGACCCATCCCAGGCAATTTCAGACCTATTACATGCTTATCAGCTATGTGGAAACTGTTCACTGGCCTAATCTCAGATTCCATATACAACCATTTAGACCAGCAAAAACTCCTCCCCCCTGAGCAGAAAGGGTGCAAGAAGAAGAGCAGAGGATGTAAAGAACAGTTAATGATAGACAAACTCATTCTGAAGAACTGTAAACGAAGGAAGCGGAACCTGAACATGACGTTTATAGACTACAAGAAGGCGTATGATAGCGTCCCACACTCTTGGATTCTGTCTTGTTTGACCATGTGTGGTATCTCTTCATCCATCATAGATCTGTTTGAAGCCTCCTTCAAACAATCGTATGTTAACCTGATGCTTGGTAAAGTTTCCCTGGGGAGAATTAAAATTAATAGAGGTCTATTCCAAGGAGACTCAGTATCACCTATTCACTTTATCATGAGTCTTATACCCCTGTCCATTCTTTTGAATAAGCATGACATAGGATACTCTCTGGAGAAGGGAGGTCGACCGAAAGTGTCACATAGGCTATACATGGACGACCTCAAGTTGTATGCCGAGAGTGAAGACGAAATGCAAACACTGGTTAATACCACAGCAGAGTTCAGCAGTGACATAAAAATGGAATTCGGGCTAGAGAAATGTGCCGTGGTGAAGGTGAAGAAGGGAGCAAGAGCCGTTTTCGAAGGCATCTCCCTACCCACAGGTGAACAGATCCATGAGTTGGAGGACGAGGGCTATAAGTATCTGGGAATACTAGAAGCCAATGATATACTGCACAAAGAGATGAAAGCACTGGTTACAAAAGAGTATATCAGAAGAGTTAAAAAGGTTTTAAAATCCCAGCTTCATGGCAGGAATAGTATACAAGCAATTAACACCTGGGCTGTACCTGTGATAAGATATGGAGCTGGAATTCTCTCATGGAATGCTGGAGAGACCAAAGCCTTAGATGTCAAGACCCGGAAACTGATGAGGATAAATGGAGCTCACCACCCCCAAGGAGATGTTGATCGGTTATACGTAAGCCGTCAAATGGGTGGCCGAGGGCTACATAGTATAGAGGAAGTCGTAAAGAGAGAGGAGAATGCACTCACCACTTATGTGGTGAGAAGTAGAGACCCAGAACTGATTGCTCTGAAGGACTACTTTGTCAAAGACAAGATACTCTTGGGTGAAGAGATAGAGAAAGATATCGACCGAACACAACGCGAGGAAATCCGCAAGGAGAAGTGGACTGCTAAAGTGATGCACGGACAGTTCCCAAGGCAGATGGTGGGTATAGCGGACCCGTTAACCTCTTGGAACTGGCTCACTCAACAAGACTTGAAGAAGGAGACAGAAGGATTGTTGATAGCAGCCCAAGACCAAGCACTTAGGACGAATTATGTGAAGCACAGGATTGACAAAACACCTGGCTCTTCTCCCCTCTGCAGACTCTGCAGAAATCATTACGAGACAATAGACCACATACTGAATGGGTGCCCAAAACTTTCACAGACAGAATATAAGTGTCGGCATGACAAAGTAGCTGCCGCATTGCACTGGAGTCTGTGCAAGGAATACGGCTTCCCACGCAGTAAAAGGTGGTACGAACACCGGGCAGAGAAGGTGCTGGAGAACGAAAAAGTCAAGATATTGTGGGACTTCCATGTCCAGTCGGACCACGTTATCGAACACTGCAGACCGGATCTCCTCCTGGTAGACAAGGTAACCAACGCAGCAACCATCATTGACGTTGCAGTCCCAGGAGATACCCGGATCCTGGATAGAGAACAAGAAAAGATACTGAAATATCAAGACCTAAAAAGAGAAATTAAGAAGAACTGGAATTTACGAAAGGTCACAATCGTCCCTGTGGTGATAGGCGCATTAGGAACTATCACCATTAACTTTCGTAAACACCTCGACGCAGTCCACTGCAATCTGAGCATCTCTAATCTCCAGAAGACAGCTCTGCTTGGATCAGCCAGAATTCTCAGGATGGTCTTAGACATATGATATTATTGAGAGTATAATACACTGTAGATACTCTATATTTAGTTTATTCTTCACTGGATACTGTAATAAACACTTTTTACCTGGTCCTCTTATATCTCTTCCCTTGCTATGCAAGCCCTGTCTCTTGTGTATAAAATTTTTA